TGGGCAGTGTTGAATGTCTCGCCATCGCTCGGACGTCGATTCCTGGTGCATTTGTCGATTTCGTGCATTTCTCGCTGAATGATCAAAGATGCTCCTCGATGGTCCTCGCCGAGAAAAAAGGCACACGTCCGAGCGATGCCAGGATGTATGTCGACGCTGCTGCGCCCACGTGCTGCAGAGCAGGTGCACGGCGGCGGTGGCGGGGCCAGCTGACCGTGCGGCCCCAGGCTCTGTGGGCCCCGGAAACGGCAGGGCCGCTTTTTCACCGTGTCCAAAAAAAAACCCTCGAAAATGGAAACGGCAAAAAAAAGCGGCGACCGGAAACGGCAAAAAACGGCTCCAGGATTGGAACCGCAGCCGGAACCGGTCAAAAAACGGCGACGGAACCGGTTCAAAAACGGCGTCGGAACCGGCAAAGAAACGGCAAAACGGAACCGGCAAAAAACGGCCCTGTTGTTTCCAGGGCCCACGAAAGCCCCAGGCCCACCACCCCTGAGATGCGCGTGTGCCGCCGTGCTCCTAATCCACAGCCTGCGCTGCAGACGCGCACCAGCATCGGAGTCCGAATCTGGTGCCTCGGCCGGAGGCGCCGCGCAGACACTTCTCGCAGAGCTGCGCCTGCGGGCCTGTCCCCTCCTCGGATCCGAAATCGCAGCGCGCGCGCGCGACCCACAAGACGGCAGGCGCTGGAGATGCGGGCATGCCGGCACGTGCCGCCCGCAACTCGGGGCCACCACGCAGGCCGGGCCCCTGGGCAGCGCACCCGGTGGCGGGGGCTGCGTGGGCCAGAGCACGCAGCCGCCGTTCGTCCTCCAGCGCCTCGGCGAAGTGACGACCCCATCCGACGAGCTTGCCCTCAAACTCCTGCATGGTGAGTCTGGCGTCGGTCAGGTCATCATCGAGATCGATGCGTTGACCGGCGCGGATGCACTGCTCCGTGATCGAGCAGAGCGGCGCCGCGACCACGTACGTGGCAACGACATGCGAAGCCCATCTAGCCATAAGCTGAATGTGGATCAGGGGGAAGCCGCGAGCGGCCATCCATTGCGCACCGGCCACCCGGATAGAGTGGCCTCCGAACTGTCTGCCGCAAGCTCATCGAGCAGCGCTCACACAGCTGCGCGGCCTTACCCCGTCTCTCCCTCCGTCCATCACTCCTCATCCTGTTGCTCCTCCTCCTCCTCCTCCTCCTCCTCCTCCTCCTCCTCCTCCTCCTCAGCAGCAGCAGCAACATCTGCAGCACCATCACCATCACCATCACCATCACCATCGCTAGCGTCACCATAACATTACGATTACGATTACCAGCACCATCATCAGCATCAGCATCATTATAATCATCAGTAATAGCACCGCCACCATCATCATCAGCATCATCATCGTCGCCATCAGCACCGCCGTCGTCGCCGCCATCATTACCAGCATCATCACCATGACCATTGAACACATTAGCAACAGCGACGAAGGCGACAACAACTATAATAACAATATCACCAACAACAACAGCAACAACAAGCATTATAAGACCGCCTGCTCTTACTTGTCCGTGTGTCATTCAAAACGAGTTCCCCACACCCTCGATACCCGTCCTTTTTGCCTTCGATCACACCCACTTTGGGGGGATTGTTTCGTTCTCTTTGCGGGGGGCGGCGGGCTTACACGGGCGGGCAAACCTGAACCAGCGGACAATCCTTCGTGGACGTAAAAGTGCCCACCATTGGAATCGGTGTGGGCCCGGAAGGGAAAAAACAAAAAAAATGGTGGGGGAGAACAAGGGAGAGTGGGAGGAAGGGAGGGGGAGGGACGAAGGAAGAGGGAAAGCGCCAGGAGAAAAATAGCGAAGAGGGGGGCGGTTGATTAGAGGCAGAAAGAGAGAGGAAAACAAATATAAGAGAGGTAGAGGGAGACAGAAACAAATACAACAAAAAACGAGAGAGAAACAGAAAGAGGGTGGGAGGAGGCAGGAGAAGGGAGGGATAATGGAGGAGGGAGAGGAGGGAGAGGGGATAGGGCAGAGCGGCACAAGGATGAGGGAAGAGACGAGGGAGAGAGAAGGGAGGAGAGGAGGGAGGAGGGAGGAGAGGAGAAGGAGGATGAGCAGGAAGGCAAGAGCGTGAACGTTCGAGGAAGTCCTAGGAGAAAACGCCTCTCCTGAAGGAAGTCTCGGTCGGGAGCCCACGACGGCCGGGCGACCCCCTGATGGGCTGGTCGGGCGGGCGGGACAGTCAAGCGGCGTGCCTGAACATGGCGAGAGCGCGATTCCTGAATAAAGTGTGACGGCGTCCTTGGCGCAGCGTGTTTCCTGAGCATCGAAAGCACGATTCCTAAATAAATTGCATGGAAATCACGCGCGAGAGCGCAACTCCTGAATAAAATGTGAAGGGCTCTCTGGCGGGAGCGGGGGTCTTGATTAAATTGCGCAGAAGTCTTGATTCAATTGCGAAGAGGTCTCAAGCGGGAGCTCCGTTCCTGAGTAAATTGTGAAGCAGTCTCAGATGGG